TTTGTTATCCATACTCACCTCGCCTTTGTTATCCATACTCACCTCGCCTTTGTTATCCATACTCACCTCGCCTTTGTTATCCATACTCGCCTCGCCTCACCTCGCCGCTCTTTTCGCCGACTTCGCGCGTGGTTTGAGCGGAGTACCTATATGGATGGATAGTGCGGAACGGCGTCTGAGGCTGAGGCTGAGGCTTCTTCTGAGCGTCGTGTTTAAGGAGGGAGCATAGCGTTATGCTAGGGATCACGGGAAGCGACCACGTCCGATGTCTTGCCTGTGTCTGCGGAATCGGGGAAGGGCGCTGGTGGTGTTGTGGCCTGCAGGCTGGGGTCGTAGTGGCGGAGATAAGGGCGTTGTGTCCGGTGGAGACGGGCGGACTTAAGGGCTCTGAGGCCGTTGGGTGGAATGGCACGTGTTTGCGATAGTGGAGTGGGCTTGGCTGGATAGAGGTGACGTAGCTGTGTGGACAGAGATGTGGTACTGGTGCAAAGGGCTGTGGGTGGGGTTGTTGCTACGGAGAGGACCTCACTCTACTGCTAGATATCGTAGGCGTCTCTCTCTGCATGGAAACTTGTTTGGCTGTGGGTTCATCTCGTGTCCTCTGCAGGGCTCGATATCCTTCCGACCCCACAGGATGCGTGCAATGCGCATCGGAGACGGAGATAGCCCACCCACGGGGCCTCGAGCAGAGCGGCTAAGTCAGCTTTTGAAGGAGGCGATATCGCTGCCCCTTCATTCCTTCGTTCGCGGGCTGCAGTTGTCAACAATCGATTGAGTGGGGCTCAGCGGCCGAGAAGGGACTTTGTTGATTACCTGTTCAAGCCTAGCGGTTACCTGCGTAGGCTTGATTCTTACACTGCTGGGTGGACGCGTGAATTGAATGTGAGGAATGGACTTGCTTGTTGACGCAGATGCGTACCAGCACAAGTGTTGATGTCATTGCTTAGCCAAGACGGAAGGATTGGATCGTTGCCTTCAAAGTTTAGTTGCTCGTTCTTTGCTCCTCGCCACTCTCGCTGGCTTAATCGAGATGCTTGTCGTGCGGTATGATAGTCGGTCTCACAACGCAGCACAAGTGGATCTCGGCCAAATTCCTGCTTGCTAGCCAGGCCGACTTTCTTTCGGTGAAGAAAGTACCTCGGCCCATCGCAGCTTCCGCAATTACAGTTAACACCCCACCACAGCTGGTACATCAGTCCACGTCTCAATTGCAACTGCTTCGTTGCTTACAATTCAAAACAATTGACCTGCACCCGGCACTGCCAAGCAAACCATCAACGCATCTATCCCGCCCTCCACCATGTCCAACCCCATCAACTACAGTTTCTACGGCACGACCGTCCCTGTGCTGCGCAGCATCTTCTCAGCTGCCATCAGCATAGTTCGCACTGCCAAAGATGAGCAGTCAAAGGGGGGTCTTCCCTCCGAGCAGGAAGTCCTCGACTCCACCCTCGGCGACATGTTGCCCTTCCGCATGCAGCCCATCCTCCTGGCCAAGTTCTCCCTCGCGGGCCTCGACTACCTGAAGCTGCCCAAAGCCGAAGTCCCCGCGTTCAACCCCGCGTTCAAGACGCTCGACGAGGTGATTACGTTCTTCGAGGGCGCGCAGAAGGCGCTCGACAGCATCGATGAGGCCGAGTACACCGCCGCCGCCGCCAAGAGCTGCGACATTGCCTTTGGCCCTGGAAGACCCACCCTGAGCATGACGGCTCTTGACGACTATTTCCACAACTTTGTCATCCCCAACTCGTACTTCCACCTCAACACCATGTACATGCTCCTCAGAAACGCAGGGTTCAAGCTGGGCAAGAGCGTCTATATTGGATCCTTCATGAGCGAGCAGCAGAAGAAGGACTGGGCTCCTCTGAGCCAGTAAAGCATGCTCGTGTCCAGTCAAGAGGATGACGCGACGTGGTCAAAAGATACGAAATATCGATGGCGTGCTAGAATGAATAGAGCTTCGCCCACAACGCATTTCTCTCAAAGTACGACATGTTGAACAGGTTTAATTTGCTAGCAGCTGCGCATGAAGAGCGTGACATGTGTACCTACTAACGTAGTGTCATCAACGCTCGTGGACAGCAAGACGCACTGACTTCAATGAGCAGCGTTCCAGCGGAGCTTCATCGAGACAGGTCGGAAATTTCTGATACTTTCAGACGAAGACTCCCCCTGCGCACACAGTCCCCAACGATCGAGGCGACGCTCTCGTGAACAGCAGGACCCAGGCCTCGGTGGTAGAAGCAATCCTGAGACCGCGCCCACGACTCGCCTCGTTCGCACTCGAAGTAATTCACTCAGGCTATGGCAAATAGACCACCTACCTCCGAGACCGAGATGGTAGATACCTCATCTCGCATACCGCTAGATAGCCGCTCTGACCACGTGCACTCGCAGCTTTCACACTGCAATGGTTCTTCGATATCGCTGGTGTGCTGGTACCACCGCCTACCTGCTGGCTTTCTGCCGACGGGGCAGAGTCGACTACGCAGCATTAATGTGGCTTGATCTGCGTGCTGCTCTCGTTGTACAACTCACAGCGACCCTTGATGTCTTTTTTCTAAAATATCGGAGATGAGACACTACAAGCCGGAATCCGATCTGCCTGGTGTCGTCCGAGAGTTTGCGCGATCACGCGGCGACGATCGAGAGAGCAGGGTAGCCATGTCTTGCAGGCGTGTGTCAATCGTCTGAGGAGTTGACTTGTGCATTATCACGTGGCATTGTGTGAGGCTCTCACCTGGCGACGTAAGTGCGCGCAATGCGTGTCGTGTCAGTGCATTTCCTAGGCACTGTTAGATATTCTTATTGTATATTCGGGTCGTGTCAGGTCAGTCAATCTGTCAGACTACCACCAAGGGAAGCTGTTATCACGGTCGCCGGATGCTTCCTTGTAACGCGAGTTTCCTACTGTTATTAGTTCTGGATATACTGCGCCTCAGTTGCACTTGGCGACAAGCAAGAGATCGGATAGTGTATCACATCACAGTCCTCGAACCCTGCACCACAACCACACCCACGCAGACCACCGACCGGAACTGGCTTCGTCGTTGATTCCGGACCGTTCGCGATATCACAATGCAGCCAGACGTTCACCGCACGTCAGCCCCTCCCAGCCTCGGATCTACCTCAGCAGCCCCACCGTGTGTCAAAACCCGTCCCCAGACCGCACTGACTACAAGCTCACCCTCAGCAACCGGCCAAAACACCCTCCTTCCACCCAACAGCTTCTGCCCGTCGAAATTCCGTTCGTAACCGAGACCGGCACGTGCGTACCCCGCATCAAGGGTGATGAGCGCATCCCGTCTCGAAGCATGCAGACGCCGCCTCGGTCTCGGTAGGCGTGTTGAGCGTTGCTTTGGGCTTATGGGATGGCCGGTTGTGTGGGGCGAGCGACGGTGAGAGACAGGCGGCAGATGTAGCATGGTTGTTTGCGTGGTATGACTGGAGGAGCTGGGATACCAGAACCAGGTCGTTCTGTGGTCGTAGGACCTGTTTGCGACTGGTGTTGCATCCTTGCCAGCTTACCTTTGCGTTAACAGCGAGCAGTATCCGTAGGTGCTGCACCCATTTCGATTTCTCTGCTATGCTGGAGATATTCAAGAACTTTAAGTGCAGTACATAGGCACTCAGACGATGGCCCCGACGACAGTCGCGCAGCATGTACATCTTTGGTTGCATTATCATCCTCGTGCTGCGCGGTGAAGATGTCCTTGCCGTTGAGGTACATCCGCGATCGGGCCACTATACTCTCGTAGAACATGCGCTTGATGTTGGCACCGAAGTCTGGAGACGGAGTGAGGCACTGTGCAATCTCGACTGCTTACCGCGTCCCGCTTGCAGGAGCGTGCAATACGATCCAGCTACACTTCTGCCCTTTCCTCAAAAGTGCATCGTCGATGCAAAGTTGTTTAGTTCCTAGCGGGCGAAGGCAGACCCAAGTGGTTCAAAGATAAAGGGCCGTTAAATGCACACAACACATCGAGTTGACCTGGTTGGAGCCTTCGTGGAGGTAGTCGCTGACCTGATTGCGAAATTCCTGCATGCCGCTGAGGCAGCTAAAGCTGAGGAGACCCAACTGAACGGACTGGTAGAGCGGCTTGATGAGATGAATGTGGCCTGACGAGAGTCATATAAAAACCATGTGACACTGCATTGGCAAAATCTGCACAATTAGTCAACTTGAAAGAATTTGCGGCATAGCTTGATAGCAGAAGAAGCGTGTATCGATTCGTGGAGATTGCAATAGCATCATAGAACCGCTGACTACCCCCAGGGCAGCGTGAATCTTCTGGCGGTGTGCTCAGGGCGTGTTGCGGAGACTGTGGTCTGGAGCTGTCTGCGGCGATTATCCACGAAGCGCAAGACCACATGGAAGAGGCTGCGCTGGCGGAGCCAGGTTGACACGAGTCGACAACGACGGCCTGAAAATCCCATGGGCTTTGGGTTGGCTCGGCATAGCATAGCAAAATCTGTTAGCTGGAACAGTGACCATTCGTTGGCCCCGAGCTCTCAGAAGACCTTGATACCAACTTAGCAGGCGTAAATATGGTTGATGCTGACTTGCAGGGAATTGGAAAGTCGTGGTACCTAGGGTCAGCATTGCGCAACCGGGTCTCGGAATGAGGGCAACAAGATCCAACACTGCGGTGTTTCAGGCGTGACTCTGCACGAATTGCAAAGCTCCCGGGTTGGCGCCCAGCCTCAGCTGAGCCAAGCTGTGTCGCATCCGTCCAATCATAACGACCAGAGCAAGAATCCGCAAATTTCCCGGAGCTCGCACCCCGGACGATCGCGCATGCGCGCCTGTTGATTAACATGCGGTCCCCAGGCTCACTTTCACTCATCACAACCTTGTGCTTACACCGATAACAGCACTTACCTACTCCGTTTCCTTTTTTTCAAGTTACTTTTCTTCTCCACATTCCTTCGACCATACATCAAGCATGCGGTTTTCAGTAGCACTCAGCATCGCCGTGACGCTCGGCTGCACAGCTGTTCAGGGCACCATCCTGGGCTTCAACTCCGGCGCCTCAGACGACAAGGGCAATGCGAAGAACCAGCAGGACTTCGAGCGCGAATTCAAGGCAGCAAAGAGCCTGAATGGCGCGCCCGGCGAGTTTAGCACCATCCGCCTGTACTCCAACATCCAGTGGAACACGCCCGACACCCCCATTGCTGCATTCTCAGCTGCGGTAGCGACAAACACGAGCCTCCTCCTTGGTATCTGGGCATCGGGCACAGACAACATCGACAACGAGCTGAAGGCGCTGACGGCTGCTCTCGACGAGCACGGCGACAAGTTGGCGAATTTGGTCGTGGGTATTTCGGTTGGTAGCGAGGATCTGTACCGCGTGTCAGAGCCCGGCCTGCGCAACAACGCTGGTGTTGGTCAGAACGCTGACACGATCGTGCGCTTCATCAAGGATGCCAAGTCGAAGCTTGCGAATACAGCCCTCAAGGGCAAACCTTTCACCCACGTTGATACCTGGACCGCCTGGGTCAATGGCTCCAACAAGGCTGTCATTAACGAGATCGACTTCCTCGCCGTCAATGCCTTCCCCTTCTACGAGTCCGAGCTCGACAATCAGATTAGCAATGCCGGGAGCCTGCTGAGCAGCGCTTTGACAGCCACCGAGGGCGTTGCTGGTGGCAAGGACGTCTGGATCACCGAAACCGGCTGGGCATACACCGGCCCTGCTTTCGGTGCTGCTCAGGCGACTGTCGATAACGCCGGCGAGTACTGGCAGGAGGTTGGCTGCAAGCTGTTTGGCAAGCGCAACGTCTTCTGGTACACGCTTCGCGACGCCAACCCAGACAACAAGGTCAAGTTCGCCATCACCGACGACCTTAGCACCACCCCGCGCTACAATCTGACCTGCCCGGCCGAGAGCGAGGAGCTGCCTACTCCTGCCCCGATCAGCAGCAATTCGACAACCTCAACTGGCAACGGCACCGGCAGCAGTAACAACACCAATAGCGGCAGCACTGCCAGCGTTTCTGCCAGCGGCTCAGCCAGCGCCAGCAGTACTGGTGTTGCTCAGGGTACAGGTGCCGGATCTTCAACTTCGGTCTCTGTCGTCAACTCCATGGCCATAGCACTTTCCGTGGTCTTCGCTGCTGCGGCTTGGGCTCTGTAGACGTCGTTGATCTCGGCCAGCTCCTAGATTTCCTTTTGTCGATGTACGAGTAGCTTCAGGCGTTTGGTGTGCTCTGTCCAGCTAAAAGCTGTCAGTAGTCAATTAATAAATAACGCTGCGTCGCCTTTCGCGTGATCATTTCGTCCCATGCACAGGCCTGACTAGACCGCACGATAGTCACATAAAAAGAGAGACTTTTGATGTGCTTGGCAATGTGCTTGGCAACGAGGTCGCAGTGAGGTCGCAGTGAGGTGAGGTGAGGTGAGGTTTGAAAGACTGGAAGCTACGGATCTTTGGGAAGGCGCGTTGTGGGGCTGCGTCGTCACCATCCCTGCATCACCCAGCGAATTGTGCCTCTAACACGACGCCCGTTCACGGACGTCGACATTATCAATGGGATACTGTTCCGAGCAACATTGGATTCGCGCGGGTCAACCTCTGCCTCGAGCACTCTTTCAGCACGACGGCGCAGGGGGCCAGCCACGAATGGCAGGTGCAAGAACCTGCTGGGCCAGCAGCAACAAAGCATCATGTGAGGTGGAGCTCAATCCCCATCCGGTAATCACAGTTGTAAAGAGTTTCTGATTCCCTTTCTGTATTATGTGTCTCTTAGATCTGTTCTCTTGTATTACATCCCGCAGTATTACCGAAAACATGCCTTATTCTTCTCACCGCACTGCTTGACCCTTGTCGACTTCCTCCCTCGCTAGTCCTCATACTCAGATCGTGTATGCATGCATATTGATGCCATGGCTGGACCCAACCGAATCACCTTCATATACACTCATCCACGCTCAGCCCTCTCTGTACCCAATGCTCGGACCCTCTCCGTGTCTTGCCCACTGGCTCCTCCTCCCTTCATACACAAGGTTGTCCATGTTTCTGATCCTAACCTCCGCCATGTAAGTTGCTTGTGCTGCGGAGACAAGCTTGAAGCCGTTGCCGTCAACCTTGAAGCCGAAAGTGCGGTGGATGGCGTAGCCGCAGATGACAAGGCACAGGGCACCGAAGATGATGAGGAGGACGATGACAAAGAAGGGTAACGCGTAGCCGGTGTTGTCGCGCGGGGTGAGGGCGGGCATGGTGATGAGCGTGTGTCTACGGCCTTGATGTAACAGAATCGTCGTGAGTGCAGTGTTGATTGTCTCTTCAGTGTACTTATGGGCCCAATTGCCGGCTTGTTGAAGTGCAGCTAGTGCGTAGTATAAAAAAGCTGGATTGAGGAGAGTTGTGATGGCTATTCTTGGCAGTTGTTCCACTCAGAACAGGAGATTAACGAGGATGGCGGTGCTTTATCTTGTGTGGCGACAGGCTATGCAAATCGAGACTGTGGAGCGAAACATGCATACAGAGATGATGAAGAAGGCATAAGCTAGAGGGACACGTCTTTTCCAGTGGGACATAGCAAGATATATACGTACCACTCCTCCTTTGCGAGCCATGCACGATGACCGGGCCAAAATCTGCCATACCTATCTATGTTTATCTCTTCGATGCCTCAGTGGTAAATGCAATCCATACATGGCCTGATTTGGCAGGGAATTTTCTGTATCACTGCAGCTATTGGTCGGTTCGGCAAACCCTATGGAGTCAGGCCTCCTGTGTAGCATTCCCGCACGTGACTTGTACGAGTGTGCCAATGAGAACCCACAGCTTTGCGAGGTGACCAATCAGAACGAAGTGGGGACATTATTACTATAGTCGGGTTGGACGCACTGGTCATTCCGGATTGAAAAGTCGAAGCAGGGCATTGAATATGAAGCACTATCTTGAGAATGAGATATCATGAAGCTGGAGTTTGTTTTTCAACGGCATGTTGGGGCGTGCAAGTTTGAAGTGTTAGTCAGCCGCGTTTTTAGCGTCTGCGGGTGTGTTCCTTGGGTCGTGACGTGGCGCCTCCTCGAAATCTGACACGTGCGTGTCATTCTTAAAGACAGGGCGAAGTCCGCCCACACGTAATATAGGAGTCGTTCGATAATCTGTTGTTGGGGATCTGCCTCGACTGCTAACAAACGATGCAGCCACGACCCAGAACTTCAAGATTCATAACCACACGGCAGATTTAGTCGATAGTATCGAATTTATACAGGTTGACTCGCGAGCCCCATCATCCCTTATCGGTCTTGTCACAAAGCCACCTGCGAAAGAAGATGACTTTGTCAACCCACACCCAAACCACGACTACTACAACGATCGCTTCAGCTTTCCGATACTTGTTTACGCCACTCTTCTCGGCACAGCCGCGACCAGCTGTCTATTGCTAGTCGCACTGCGAACTCAAGACATCCGGCCATCTGACATAGTCAACCCAGGCTCGACTGCGAGCTTCGAATTCGTCTTGGTGCCGCCGCTACCTGTCCTGCTTGGATACCTCGCATTCTGTACGCTTTTGTCACTGGTCTTCGATATCAGAACACCAAGAAGGAAGGTTTATCGATATTGGTGTCGCGTCTTGCACTTTTCCCCGTTCATTGGCATTTTGATTCTGCCATCGTTCAGTTACACGTTCGTCGTGTACATCTCAGCGATCTGCACGTCTCTCTATCTGGCGGTGGGGGTGGCGCACATTATCAGGAGATGCATGAGCAAGAAGTACGCGCGCAAAGCGGTACATGATCTATGAAGGCCGTGAATGCACGAATTCACTGTCTGTTCTATATACAAGTGCCCACTGAACCTGAATGGGAACGTCAAAAAAAGTCACTTAACCCATGCGGACAATACCCAGCAAGGTCGCGACGGAGTTTGGAACGGATTGGGAGGGTTACAGCTGTGCTCTGTAACAGTCCTCGTTCTGCGCTCGAAGTCGACGAAAGCCGAAACAAAGCTTGTCCGCTGAGACTGGGCCATTTGGAACGTCCCTCCTTGAGGCTCGTTGCGCCTACGTCGACGAGCTATCGCGACAAATGCCATCGGCGCAGCTCCAGCTCGAGCTTGTTTTCGGCTTTCCAATTCGAGCTACACGGTGATTGCTGCTCTGGTTGTGACCGGGTTTGAGGCTAGCGTGAATCCCCAGCTAGACTCTCGTGATGAATCCCGTTGCGGTCCGCGCTCCGCTGGGCATGGCTGCGGTTTCTATGCTTCGGGTACAGTACCCATCGCTGTTTTGTCTCTCGTAGCCGGTGCTGCTACCAGTTCATCGACTGCTTCGGTCCTCTCGACCGGTTCGTGGCTCCCGATCGCTCCGGGCTTCTCGAGCGCCTCGGTCCCGTCGACTGCCTCGCATCTCTCTGAGCTTGTTCTATTGTCGCGCCGCTCTGCACTGATCGAGCTAAGATGAAGACAAGGATTTTGCGGTAGAAAACCCATGGCTTCTGATTCAGCTTCAACTTCGATCGTTCCAGCAACGAAAGCTTGGACTCTGAGTTCGAGCTCACTGGTGCAGAAACTGATGTCATCGCAAGGGTCAGTTTGTTTGGGCTTTCTATCGCGGAGGAGATGAGTGCAGCTGACACGGGAGCATCTGAAGTTGCAAGTCGTCGTCTCGCGAAGAAGGCGTCTGATCGGTCTTTCATCTCACTCACACCGAGAGTTTCCGGTGCGAAGATGCAAGATTTCACGAAGTGCGAGCCATTGTCTTCAACTTCGACCGAGTCTCAGGTAGAGTTGTCTTGTCTGTCTTGTTGATCGTGAATTGAAGTTTCTGGAGTCAACAATCGTCCGTTGTTCTGCTCCTTATTTTGTTCTGTCACCTCACCCCTATACTAGAGCCTTTAAAGATTAGTAGGTTGTGCTAAAAGACAACAGCAAAGTCTAGCTCAGACAACACAGAGCATTAGCATCCACTAGCCAGTGCCCTCTATTGTGCTCTAATTAGGCAAGAAATGTTCCTAGATTGCCCTTGTACATGAGATTATGTCCTGAATTAAAGTGTATGTGTAACTGCGTGAGCAGTGTCGGTCGGAGACTGTGATCAACGAGTGTATTGCTATCTGTTGTCGTCTTGTGATGTTTTTTTTGTTTGTCGAAGCTCTCAGCTCCGAGGAAAGCGCACTTGCCCACCAGGCAGTACTTGCTACAATTAGACTGGCGGATGGGTACCCCTTACCTAGGGTAGAGTATGGGTAGAGTATAGGTCGCACGGACCAGGTTATAGGTAGGGTAGGGTCACTTAGGCTATAGGTATAGGTAGGGTAGGGTTGCAAAGGCCATAGGTAAGGTAGGGTATAGTTACTTAGACTATAGGTATAGGTAGGGTAGGGTTACTTAGGCTATAGGTATAGGTAGGGTAGGGTCACAAAGGCCATAGGTAAGGTAGGGCATAGTTACTTAGACTAACGTAGATTATCACCGAGCCGGCCATATCACCGAACCAGCCACTTTCTCTTGGCACAACCACCTTTTACCCTATTATAACATGCCTTAACAACAACAACTTCAGAATACTACTAGAGAAGGCAGAGTTATTCTTGCTATCTAGGCCTTCTACGCTAGCCAATTTTGCAGTATCTATAGCGCTGCTAGAGTATTGAACATACCTTATTAGCAGGTCTCTAATTGCCTTTGCAATATCACATTTTACCTAGATATACACGCTAATTGCTAGAAACTTACTATACTAGAGGAGCAGACAATTATCTAGTATATAATTAACCTTAATTTGCAAGGATTTGCGCCCTAGCTATGTAAGGTGGCAGATATAGCTAATAAGATACTTAGTGTGCGTAGTGAAGAGCCTGTTAGTAAACTATAGGCTAGCAGGCTTATAACGCGTTTAGACAAGCTTAAAATAGCCTTTAATTAAGCTAAGGATAGACAGAGGATACTATAGGAAGATCCTAAGATAATTAGCGCGTAGTTTAAGCTAGTAGAGGATACTTAAGTTAAGTATAGTATTTGTAATAATAACATACACAACTTTAATAAAACTAGGTTCTAGATAGGTGTTGCTTTGTCTTTAAAGGTTGTAACAGGCTTAGAGAGACGTGCTTAGCTAGAGCTTGTTTAGCTAGGCAATTGCGAGTAGGTTACTGTTATCTAGAGCATCTGCGCTGCTAGGTATGCAACCCTGCCTTTTATTATCTACAAAGGACGCGTCCACATCTCTGCCTAGTATAAGGAGACAGATATACCCTATAATTAGAAGCTCTTAGTCTCTAAGAATAGTTAGATAAATAATATACTTAGCCTTAAGTATTTAAAGCACTTTAACATACATATAAAGACATATTAGGTAGGAGTATATAGGTTGCTTATCTTAGACAGCTATAAGAGCTATTTTAACTAGGAGTTTAAGGACTATTACCTAGAGAACTAAATCCTTACTCTCTACATGCTACCTTACTTATTACACATCCTCTAGCTACTTAACATAGTCTATTTCTTACTATTAAAGTATTAGTACTCCTAATATATTTAAGACTTAGCACACTAATACGTCTTCTATATTAATAAGGAAGGCTTCCTACTAGCCTTTAGGGATGTGTTCCTTAATATATTTATAAAGGTTAACTACTAAAAGGCCTTTAAGGTATTAGGGCTTGTTCCTACTAATACATAGGTAGTGTTAGATTGCCTTAAAGTGCAGCTGCATACCCTACTAGCAGTACCTCTACCTAAAACACTATAGCAATCTAAGACGCTAAGCAATACACATAAGTTTAGGTCTTAATCTAAGCTTATAAGTAACTCCTTCTAATAAGTACTAAGTGTAGCATAAGAGGGGTTCTTAAAGCTTGTAAAAGGGGCTAAAGAGATACTGTATAAAAACATCCTTATTAAGGCCCATATGCAAGAGCTTAAAGAGCAATTAGCAGTAATAACTAAGAGAAAATCGCGTAAGAGAAAGCAGATTCAGCATAGTGGCACACTTAAGTATGGCCTAGCAGCATTGCGGGTAGCTGCTAAGGCGTGTGTAGCAGCTCAGCTATCTAAGAAGACTTAGGGTGGAGGTAGTCAACTAGGAGCTTAGTCAACTATTCAGCGCTGTAGGAACTATAGCAAGACTAGACACAACATAAGAACGTGCTAGGAGGGTGTAGAAATATCTTCTAAATCTAATGCAAGCACGCAGTATGCTAGGTCACTATTTAATAGTAAGTAGTTGTAGTTGCAGTAACTTGTGTTAGTTGTGCTAAGAGAAAATGGCTGGTTCAGTGATATGGCTGGCTCGGTGATAATCTACGTTATAGGTATAGGTAGGGTAGCTAATTTGTAACGGTTGAGAGGAGAAGCGGATCACGTGTTGTTGGCGGTGGTCTGGTGTTACTTCCTTATGTTGTTGAGCACCTCTTACCTTGGCTGCGTTACAAAGACGTTATCAAAACAAACCCCTCAGCGAGCCTCAGAGAACAAAAAGATACAAACAACAACAACAGAACACAATACACTCATTATATACATTTGCTCTTCATACCGCAACATAATTACCTAGGTACCCTGCGCAGAGTTTACTCTATTGCAGAGTTTTTAACTAATTATTACAGCGCGTTATTATATCTGCATTGCGCACATGTTACCCTACCTTACCTTACCTAAGTTATATATTACCTATTGTAACGGTCTAGACTCTAAAGCTAAAGATGAGCTAGAGCTAGCCGGTTACATTAGCTTAGCCGGCTTGGCTTAAGCTAGATATATATTATCTACGCAGTTAACTAGACGTCTAGTTAACTTGTGCATGCTTTTTAGCAAAAGTTGTTAGGAAGTAGATATCCTTTATTGGCCTTTGGCCAGACTACTACACCTATACCCTACCTTACCTCTATCACGTGTTACCCTACCTAAACTAGATAGGTAGGGTATGCTTAGGTACCCTACCCTACCTATACCTACAAATCACATGATTATACCCTACCCAACCCTACTTTACCTATCCGCCAGTCTAGCTACAATAGGATATCATGTGATCTAAGCCACTTGGTTACAGTATGTTAAGCTTCCTGCAGCACGCTAAGCTAATTAGGCTTGTAACAAAGCCTTAAATATAAGCAAAGTGAGTGAGATTTAGCAGTTGTACACCTGTTAGTGTATTTACTATAGGCTCAATGCTTCCCTAGGCTGTTATCTAAACACGTCCTATTCTAGCTCTAATAAAGTTAGGAGCAGCTGCACTGTACTCTTTTGTCTATCCCTTCTAGTTCTTAGTGTTAATTACATAAGTGCTAGAACTAGGGCCAGAATCTATTAGTTACTAAGCTTGCTAATATCCCCCTCTATACTTACTGCTGTGTAAAGATTGTCTTTTTGCTTTATGTTGTTGCAAGATTTCGTGTTGACTTGCTCGTTACTCTAAGCCTGTAGCTCTTGCTTGTTATTCTAAGCATGTAGCACTTAATCATGAATTATATATTGTACAGTGTTAGTGTCAGGCTGGGTATGTGGCGAAGCCACCTCTGACCCATGACAAGGCATGTAGCAAAGCTACCTCTGACCTGTGTCTTACGATATCAGTACTGTTCTGGCGCAGGCTCACCATCAGTGTGAGCCATGTTACCTTTTGGTTTGCTTGTCTCAGTGGCCGGAGCTGAGGCTTGACATTTGTTAAGCGTACAGACAGTCTTACAACGTGTTCCAATCGAGCGTATGACAGGTAGAGAGCTCTATGCAAAGATCCTGTGTTAATTAGGAGCTGGTTTGAGCTTGTAGAGCAAACAAAGGCCAAGTACGACATCTGCGATGAGGACGTCTACAACTTTAATAAGGCTGGCTTTATAACAGGCAAGATTACAACTCAGATTGTTGTGACAGGGGCAGAGAGGAGACGCAGGCTTAAGGCTATCCAACTAGGCAATCGCAAGTAGGCGACAGTGATCTAAGGAATTAACACTGCTGGCTGGGTGATCCCACTGTTTATTATCTTTACTGGCCAGCACTATCTGTCTGCCTAGTATGGGGAGGATATACTACAAATTTAGGCTATCGCCGTCAGCAACAATAGCTAGATAACTAACAAGCTTAGAATTAAGTAGCTAAGGCACTTTATTAATCATATGGATGGCAAGGTAGTTAGAGCACATTAGCTGCTTATCCTTGATGGCCACAAGAGCCAGTCTCTTAAATTTCAAGAGCTCTGTGTAAAGAAAGTAGGGGAAGGACTAGACTACTATCTTCCTAGTCTAGAAGGACCTAGACAAATCTAGATTAGCTTTGTCTAAATAGGAAGCGTATAGCCTAATAGAGGTAAGGTAGGGTTATGTAATATAATAGACAAGTTATTATATTAGATACTAGGTAGAGATTCCTAGGCTAGGTACAGAGCTGTCAGATAAGAGCGAGCGGCGAGAGGTCGGATC